TTGTATGTATTGTTTGCAGCTGGAGGACGGTGAAAGAGAGGAGGATAAGGAGGAGAGGAGGAGAAGCAATCCCTAACAGACTGGAAGTCAATTAAGTATTGAGATGTCGATCTAAACTCGGTCATATTTATATTGAGATGTTAATCTAAACTCAGGCCACGAATGTGATATTGCCCTCACTGTATAAAACACCTCTTTTTGTGCTCATGCACCTCCTCGACAAGGTATGATGTCGCAAGTGAAAGGGATTGCGCAAAAGGTGTAAAACTACACAGGGAAAGGAGGTAGCGGCGGTTACCGGGGGGGCCAATCCGGTATGTCAAAAAGATATTTCCTTAGCGAGAAAAGGATGCTTGCAATTCCTGTGGTTAACAAAAGGATTCCACCACATATTTCGACTCTGTTACTCACGAGGAAAGGCATGAACTCCCCGCGGAACTTTGAATCGAGTTAGATATCGATAGAGCCTCGGCACTAGTTAGAAATACGCAAATCAAAATTGCAAAACGAATATGCTAAGGGAGTGACGAGCAGTCAAAAATGGCTGCAAACTAGCGCTTGTGGATGTGGCTAACTGGCTTTAGAGAATCTGTGTTACTGTAGAATAGTGGTAAAGTTCTCGCTCGTCATAAACAGGTCATGGGATCGAAACCCACTGTGGTGCAAGCTTTGCAAATCGTGTTTCGTATCCAGTAGAGGGTTGTATTCTAGAACAGAGCTCGTTCATACGTCTGCCACGTCCACCTCTGCCATTCTCCAGTAACATAGCGACAACCCTTTCTGTCGCGTCACTCGGTCTCCACGTTCTGACAGATGCTCACTGGGAAAAGTCAAAAACTGGAGTAGAAGCCTCTATTGGGTACGAATTGCAAGTTGCACCGCAGTGGGATTCGATCCCATGACCTGCGCGATGATGAGCGAGAGCCTTACCACTACACCACGGCAACACAGTTTCTCTGACACTAGCGAGCCTCATCCAAAGCGCTCATTTGCAGCCAACTTCGACTGCTCGTAACTTCCTTGGCAGAATCGTTTTGCAATTTTGGGTTCCGCATTTCTAACCAGTGTCCCAGGCTCTATCGATATATCTAGGTCTCGATTCAAAGTTCCAGAGGAGTTCAATGCCTTCCCTGGTTAGTGCATGATCGGGAAACAGGGGCAACCATCGCCATGCCACGCGTGATCCACGCAGGCATAAGCGCTTCTATCATTCCCGGGAACACACGTTATGTCGCTATTGATTCGATCGGCAATCCGGGTTTTCATAGTTTTTCTCCAAAAGCGGTCGCTTACAAAGGTACGCAGAGCATTGATCTGTCGCCACATTTTTTCCTACTGAACTCAGGTGCCAAACTTCCTTTCAGGTCCAGTATCTGATATGCTCCGTGCAATTCTTCTCGATGTCGCTTTTGGTGATTCAACACACAGGAATGCCATTCCTCGTTCGAGCGACCAACAAGGTACGTGCGTCATAAATGATTTTCAAAACGGCGGCCCTATAAGTGATCCTTCAGACTAATATCCCTACCATTAATAAAGCGCTATGTCTTTCTGTTTGTGTGTGTCACGAAGTTCACAGCACACGTAGCAGCAATGATGGGACCTATACTCGATATCCGTAAGTTGGGGTAGGCGTGTCACCGGAAGTGACGTGCACTTGATAGAAACTATGTGGATAAGCTGCTTCCAACATACATCGCTGGATATCAGCAAAGCATGCTGGCAACAGCTTATCCACGCAACTTCTATCAAGTGCACGTCACTTTCCGGTGACACACCCACCCCCAGCCAGCGTTTCGGGGGGGGGGGGTCGGGGATGTCGACTGTAAGGTTTTACTTAATTGAATGTGATAACAAGTCTGATTATAGCTGATATAGGGGGGGTGGTGCAGAACTTGTATTAGGTATTAGGGACAGAGGGGGTCGGGGGCTTCTTATGATTAGTCTGAGAACAATTCAACCTGAGTGCGGTGATCCAGTCAAGGTTTTCTCGGAATTGTTGAGGGTGTCAGAGAGTATTTGGTGGATGGTTGTTGTTGGCTACACGGTCGGCTAAGGATCTCGAAAGAGTTGTTCCGTTGATGTGTGGGGAAGGGCTGGTTGTGAGCTAGTACCTTTGACGGGGACTCTCTGTGCGAATCTTGGGGCGTGCTGTGTAGGCAGAGCTTGTTGCCAGTTTCATTGTTTCATTTGTTTCAGTTGGTTCATTTCGCGTTGGGAGTGTCGGTGAGTTTGAAGTGAGGTGAGGCGGTTGCAGCTCTCATTTTGGACGGGGAGAGGTCGATGTTGGCGTGGTCTAGAGCGGGGCGCGGGGAGTAGGCCGGACGCTTTATCGAGGGGCAGGGGGCGGATAGTGAGGCGGGTGGGGTGGGGTCGGATGGGCGGTGAGGTTGGGGCGGGGCGTGAGAGCGTCGGTGGTGGAAGTGTGACGTGGAGTGATGTGAGTGAGTGTGGGGGGCAAGCGAGGAGGTGGCGTGCGTGAGTGGCGTGGTAGGTGGGGGGTACGCATGGTTATAAGTTATAATGTGGAGCACTGCCAGGAGAGGTGCCCTGGGTAAGAGCAGGGTTGTACTGTGCGGGTGGTGGCGTATGGCTAATATTCTTGGGGGTGTGACGCTGGCGTCGGCAGGAGGGCAAGAGTGGGTCAGCGTTTTGGATCGGGTCGAGTGTCTTGGCGCGTTCGGAACTGCAGGTATGGATCTTCCCAGCTTTAGGAGGCCACGAGTGATCGCCTTTCTGGTTGGAGCGGGTCGAGTTAAAAGAAGTGGGGTGCGACAAGAGGTGAGAGGAGCGAGGTGGGGAGGGAGGGAGTGGGCAGGTAGGTGGGATTGCGGGTAGGGGTGCGCAGGTCGCAAGTAAGAGACAGAGCGATAAGTATTTAGGGGCTGGGGGGGGGGGGGGGTGTGGGCTTATCACGCGCTTAGGTGATGGAGCAGAGAACCCACTGGGCGGTCGGGGAGCGGGTGGGCGGGGGGCGGGTGTGAGCTGGCGTGTTCGATACATGGGAGGGGAGCGTAGGTAGCGGGACCCGTGGCTATCAGTGGAGCGCGGTTCGTATAGTGCGCGTGGTCGGACTGTTGGGCGTGGGGGGGTCGGAGTGAACTAATTTGCAAGCAGCCGTGTCATCTGAGAGTATGCGGTATGTCCATAAGGGCTTGGCACTCGGTCCAACCACTATCTACAGTGCGGACATATCGAGTCAGACGAGAGCGGGCTAGGACTTGAGGGCCTTGGCGACACTGATAGCAAGCTGTTTTAGATAAGTGTATCATCGTTATCTTGTGGTAGTCAGAGCAGGCATGCGGAAAAATATTACACCGCGCACTTCATAATTGGGCCAGCAGCCACGTCAAAAACAATAAAAAAGCTCAATCGGATTTCGGAACCCTTCTGCATTTATCTAGAAATGCCTCGTTTGAAACCTTGTTGGCTCCGGTGTTTATCGCAACATCAGGTGGCACTGTAGTCGCGTAAAATATTCTCCTTTTTGTTCGGCACAAAACGTTAAGCGGGGAGGAGGGACATTAGGGGCGTGGGCTGTTTTCGTTTCCCCCGGAGTTCTCGCCCCTGCCTAATATTGCTCGTGGAGGGCCCCCGCATCTTGCGATAGCGCGACACCATGATACCATCGAGTTATATGTTGACGCAGAGTTACCTCGCGAACTCCCCTATTCAGTTCTTCAATATGAACACGTCGTCATAATTATACGTCCACGCTGAGAATTTCCCAAATAATCTCAGCAGAGTCAGGAGTGTTTGTGAAACAAATAAGTTCTTGCAATGCTAGGCAAAATGTGTTCATATATAATGATGCGGGATCACCAATGAACATCATTTTTCTATTTGAGATCACAGGAATTTTTCCCAATAATTTTTGTGTAAAAGGCCACTCAGCCGACGTCCCAAAATTATACGTCCACCTCACGTTTATCGATTACTTTTCACTTCTGTTCCACGAAACTTTTTCATTGTGGTAACACTTCACTTCTTAAGGGAACAGCATAATAAAGACTGCTGTTGGATTTTGAGAAAGGGAAAATGTCGCAGAAACTGTTGAACAACGCAATCGCACCAAATTTGGTCCAGATTCACACCAAGCTTGGAAATTTTTTCAGAGGTTTCACATGATATGGAGTTTAGAAGAGCTCTAAAAGTCTCTCATTACTTTTCGATGGAAACAAAGGCCGTGTTACAGAAAAACATCGCCAGCTTTCTCCAAACGGTGCTCTGTCATCGAATTTTCTTGAGAATTTTATGCCTCAACGGACTTTTGTTTCATGCTTGTAAAGAATCCCAAGATCATTCTTGATTGGGAAATGTGAAAGACGGTCATTCATGGCAAGCAATCGTGGCGAAAACTGGGCTGATTTTTGCATGAAGGTGCAGCCGAGCCGACTGAAGTAAGGTTCGCTTCTGCCCGATATGTTTTGGCATTTGTTTGTTTCTTTCTCACGTTTACCTTTCCCTTAATGGCTTTTTTCTTAGTGAAGCACTACTAAAAGAAAGAAAATGTTGAAAAGAAAGACAGACACAACACTCATGCATAGCAAGGAGAAAAGGGACCCTGCTCCAGTCGGCTCGGCTGTCACCATCATGCAAATATCAGCCCAGTTTTCTTCACAATTCCTTGCCATAAATGAACATCTTTGACATTTTCCTATCAAGAATGATCTTGGGATTCCTTTACATGCATGAAACAAAAGCCCGTTGAGGCACAAGTTCTTGAATGAATTCAGATGACAGAGTACCGTTGGATGAAAGTGGATGTTTTTTTTCTGTAACACGGCCTTTGTTTCCATCGAAAAGTAATGAGAGACTTTTAGAGCTCTTCTAAACTCCATATCATGTGAAACCCCAGAGAAAATTCTCAAGCTTGGCGTGAATCTGGACCAAATCTGGTGCGATTGCGTTGTTCAACAGTTTCTGCGCATCGTGTTGTATAATATATCATGTATTTTTTGAAGGACAGGTCGTTTCTACCGACCACATGCGTCTTTTTTATGGAGATTCTCAAGCTCTCCACGTGCTCACTTATGGTCCTTGTTGAGAGCGGTGGTGTTGCAAGGTAAGCTTTGCCAATTTACATCAGCCGCTCTTGAGGACCGTTCAGTCCTTTTCAGTTGCGCTCGAAGCCTTCACGACGCGATATGGCATAAGAAAATGGAGAGCCTCAAGGTAAAATTAGTGATTTTGTCGCAACTTGCCCCTTCGCACTTTGAACAACCCTAATTCAAGTTCAGGTCTGCATACCAGCCTTCGCATATGCCGTCCAAAACAATCTCTACTACATCGCTCTGGCCAACATTGACGCCACCACATACACCGTTAGTTGTCGCAACACTGGCGGAACAGCACTTTTTCACTTTCTAGGAAATTGTTAAGGTCACTTATCAGCTGCGCATATTGACGACGGCATTGTTGTCGGTACTGATGCTTGGAAAAGAGATTTCCAGATGTCAATGGGGAGCGCTGACCTTGTCCGGATACGGGGTCGTCCTTGTGCAAGTTAGTTGTTTCATGAATTTTCTCATATTTGCATTCTAAACTGGAATACGATAATATAATAAGATAAGATAATGTGATAATCATAGATAACCGTACACATGATACTAAGTTGCCGGAAAATTCTTTGGCCATCTGTCAATTTTTTTTCCAATTCACTTTTCATTTATTTATTTATTTGATGCACGCATAGGTGCGCTATAT